CACAAGGCAGGACATTCAGGAGAAGGCCCGTCAGCTTCAATTTCCCACAGTTCAAGCAGATGGGCACAAGTCGCTTTGCCAGTGGCGGATTCAGTTCACGGCCATATGGCCTTGCTTGTTTCCTCGACAGTTAATCCTCTGCGCGGTATAGCATTGACGCCTGGAAAATCTTCCACGATGTGATCCTCCGCGGAACCATGCCCACAAGAGATTCCCGGGACGACAGGTTGAAATTCGCAAGGCAGACTCCACAGTAGCCCTGCATCACAACGTGGGCTTCGCCAAGGTATGGTCCTGGCATGATCGGAGGCAGATCAAGCCCAGTGGCAGTGGACAGATCGATCGAGACCACCGTGGCCCTTTTCCCATCTTGATGAAACAAACATTGCTCTCTCACTCACACCCCATGCTGGATTGCTGGATGGATGAATTAGACCGATAATGGCAGCCAGATTCCATGACTGAGTGACTACGTCAGGCACCGCACGTCAATGCAAGCACCGTCTAGCCGGAGCTTGAGCTTCGATGGCTCCATCGAGTCCAACGGCGCAGTTCCAACTTCCAGGTACGGAGGATTACAGAGTGGGGCAAAGACTGGAGAAGTCAACAAGAAGGAGGAGTCGAAATTGTTAGCGCGTAACACCAAAATCCGCGCCTCATTGCTGCGCGACTGAGGTTGTCTTGCATCGACGCGACTCCGCCGTCTGTGGGTGCGTGCTGCCGGGGCTGAAATCGTCCAAACTTTTGGTCGACACGTCTCATGGATGCGCAACACATCTTGCTGATCTGTCTTGTTGAGACCGGCCAGACAATAAGGTTCGGCAGCATCAACTGTAATTCAGTGCTGACAAAGTCTCGAGTCCTGGGACCCGTTGCCCCCTTTTCTCACTGACGCACGCACAGCCAAGCCTTTCAGGTCTCTGGGGAAGAGGTGGTGTCCAACTCTGAGACATCAACCCCCCAGGCCAAAACGGCGACGGGCTCCGTGCACCGGGCTCGCAGCTTGCCCCTGAAGAGTCGCAGATGGTTGCATTTCTGCACGCAACCAAGAAGGGGTCCCCTTTCGCGCACCTGCATGTCGACTGCGAACCGAAGTGGCCAGTTCCTCCCTTTCTGTTCGATAGAGTACAGTAAGCACTCAGGACGATCTCTGGCATCGCTGCTTTGTGCCTGTCTCAGGTAGACGACCAAACACCCGCCAAAGCAGACTCGGGGCGGCGTAAAGTGCGGAGCAGGACCCTTCCCAATTCCCATGCGGACGGCTCGGAAGTGGGAGAAGTCTTGGGGTACCTTCATTCGCCTGTTGCGAAGCGCGGGTCGCGGCTTTGGGTCTGTCTCCTTTTTTGGGAACAAAACAAGAGCAAACTCCCGTTCCCCAAGAAGTCCAATTGGAGGGATTCCAATAAGCGTTTGCCGATCTGTTTAATGGCTCCCATCGTCCCTCTCTCGCGTCCCGCTTTCTTTAATTTGGATAGCTGGGCACCAATCATGCCCTAGTGCGATGAGAATAAACCAGCATAACCTACCGGGAAGGCCAAGACGATCAATGTCTTGCATGATCGGTGAGCAACAAACGCCCTTCTCGAAGCTTTCGTTGGTGGTGACACCACCATCGAGACTGACCGTGTTGATCATAGCAAAAACAGACCATTATGGAACTTGACTCGCATCTCCTTATTGGCTCTGTCAGCCGACTTGTTCGACTGCAACAGTTCAACTGTCCTCAACATCGCCGCCACGGCCACGCGCGCACCTTCGCCTCGGCACAGGTAGCTCCAAGCTAGCTTAGCTGCAAGCGACAGCGCTTAATAACTTAGCCATGTCACCTCATCCCGCCTACTGAGAAGCTTCACCATTCCCCGCATCCGAGCATTGCAAGAGAAAGCCATCGCTAATCACCAACAAGGCTCGGTCTCGACCGGTCGATGGATCGCCACTACCTGTTCCTTCGACGCAGATGGACGACATCAATACCTCACACTCTCACTAGCTTATATATTCGGTAGTCGACGACTCAAGGCCGGATTCAAGATCGACAGGGTCAGACGTCGGCAAGCCAGATCGCCCACCGGGCAAGCGCGGCAACGATGTTGCCCACCTTATGACGGATCATATCTCAAAAGAAACCTTGCAAAGGTAGGTGACCTGCTATAATAAGAGGCCAAATCCCTCCCCATCATACCAGCCCTGATCTCCGCACAGTCACATTATATGAATCCTCATCTTCCATGACAATCTCGTTGGCCGTAAACCCCACTCTATCCAGGCCCGAATCTCAACCACCACACCACCAAGACCGCTTCCTCCAGCCATCTCCAAAATACTACCGCCGTGCCGTGCCGCAACTACTAGTGACGGACCGACCGCCGGACGGGGTGCTCTGGTACGACTGGCCGAATTTCTTTTCGGGACTTGGGTGCATGCGAGTGGGAGAGCTTGGGTGGAAGAGGGTGTGGTGGGGGCCGGAAAGCTCTCCCCTCTCGGTCCATCCATCCAACCCCATCACAGCACATACAGTATGCAAGTGTTGTCATTTTCTATGTGCTTATTTATAGACACACATAGTAGCATCGTAGTCCCGCTACACTGACACTACTAGCACTACCATTATGCATGGTTCTGTTCTTGGGGTTTGTGGCTGCCCGACGGTAAATTCGATTGGAAGAGATGTTCGTGATGACCACCATCAAGGGCTGCCTATTACTCGCGCATGGGTTGCATGAGGATAACCCCTTTCTTCTTCGTTTATTATCGCGCTTACTTATATGCAACACAATCTAATGTGGCATATGGAGGGTGTCACGTGCATATACGGGTGTAATGGGTGTCTAATAATATAGGCAACAGCAAAGCAGCACATCAGTGCGTGCGCGGTTCTAACCTCCCTTCACCGTCATCGTGTTGGCTACCTGCATAAGATCCCCGATGAGTTTACGGTGACGGAATACGGAATAACAAAGTACTCGTATTTTGGGGTCATCACACATCAACCAAATTGTGGCAGTGGAAGAACGCTGGACAGACAACACGAGGCCGTAAATGTTGTAAGCGACTGTCCAAGTAAGTTATTGTGACCGCAGCAGTCAGTACCGGCCTCATTCTGGAATGAGAAGACCACTCTGTTGATTGTATTTAGTCGCTGTGGTTGACGCTTTGAGACCGGCTTATGCTAGCTAGACTGATCACGCCACCTGAGTTGAGGAGAGTCTTTCTCAACTTTTCAAGACCACCGAACCGTGATAAAGGATGGGAAGGAAAAAAGATCCGTCAGGGTCGTCTTAAGAATTTTCGTGTACCGTCAACCGGGCAGCCCTGAGGATGGGATCATTGCAGCCGCTTTGCCTCTATATATGTAGCCTTATTCCGAATCCCCATTGGCCATTGCCATACATACTCGCAGTACCCAGGAATATTGCGGTCCGGGTCTTAGAAGAATTAATCTACGATGATTCCTCGCATCTAGCAGCACCATAATAGCACTTAAACAAGAGGCAAGACTTCTAATCACATGAAAATATTGTTTAGTTGAGAGATTTGGTCTTGTTTTGTTGAGCGCAGATGAGACTCTTGTGTATAGAGTTATACATACTATATACGGATTATAGTATTTATTAATGTTCATTCAAGTAGGTATATAGCATAATTGCCCGTTTCCTTTTTTTTTTTTTTTTTTTTTCAAAAGATGGAAAAAAAGAAGGCAACTCAGAAAGGGGGAAAAAAAGAAGGCAACTCAGAAAGGGGGAAAAAAAGAAAAACAAGACACAACCTCGACTTGAGGTAACGACCTCACCAAAAAGCGAAGGTGCATTCGCGGTGACAACCGCTGTACTACGTTGAAGTAAAATTTCAAACTTTCAGCTACTTCGCTGGAATGAATTCTTAGTAGTTATCACGGCTCAACCTTGTAGTAGCTCTACTATTGATGTGGTTGCACGACCAACCCAAGGACCCTGGCTCGCAAGTCGCCCTTATATAGGGACTGGTTGGTCCGTGCACAGCACTAGTACCCCACCAAGTTCCTGTGGTGCCGTCCAGGCCACCACCAGCCTGCCAGAGCACCTGGCAGCTGTCAACGGCTGTCACGGTCTAGTCCCGTGACAGTAGTGATGGTTATATTCTAGCTTGAGATGTTGTAAACTTTATTTGTTGCATCAGCTCCGCTCCGGTATCTGTCACCTACTCACAACCAACCCTTTATACATCCTCCAGATCAACTCCCAAGTCTCGGATCAACCGAACAACCCCAGCCCTCGTCGGTGTGATCTGCTGCTGCTCCGATGCTTGCCATATCGGCACGCAGTTCCCCCTGATCAGCACAAATTGGAAGTTAGAGGCGGCTGCTGCTGTTACAGCCAGTTTATTATCAACAACTTGACAGTGCAGGCCGGCGGTTAGGAACTTAAGATCGCGTACTTGATTCATATTACAGCTGCAGCTGCTGGTCATGAACGCGACTGGAGATCAGTAGAGAGATGAAATATCCATGAACTGTCTGTCGTCTAGTGCCTAGATAAGCTCATTGACAGAGAGGAGGAGGATCAGTCGTATTAACTCATGTCACGTCCAGACCAAGTTCCCGTTCTTTTCACTGGATCAGTTGATGTGGCATTTGAAGTTGAGAGTGCAGTTGGTTGGATTGCGATTAGAGCCTTGGAGAAAAGTCAAGTCCTGGCTACTTATATTTAAATTCATTCAAGTGAGATGTGATATGGCTTGGAAACCAGTAGTCTTTGTTTTCGCGATGGACTCGTGTTATAAGTCCGTCAATTGAGATCACAGGTAACCTATCTCGATTGGGTGCCGCTCCACAAGTACCTCGCTGGTGAAGACCTACCTGACCTGAAAGACAGATTGGTCACGATAGTAGCAGTTAACTTTTTGATATCTTGAATGCATGTACAAAACCACACTATATGGGATGGATGTGGAGAGATACAGTGACTGGGACTGACTGTTGTACAGTAGAGTAAGTAAAAACGAACGAAAAGAAAGAAAGGGCCCGGGCGAGCCCGGAATCGAACCGGGGTCTCGCGGTCCGAAGACCGCGCTGCTCTACCACTGAACTACTCCCCCGAGCATACCATTATTGGCGAAAAATGAACTTGTTAGATCAGATTATATAGTGCATGGGTGGGTAAAGTAGGTAGTGAGTTTTCCTGTCACGGTCCTGGGCGCAACCGTAGGCACACCGGACTTGCAAAATAAGCAAGTCATCGGTTCAGCTTTACGGGTGTTATGAGTTGGTGGCATTCGGTAAGGTAGTGAGTGTGTCGAGTAACATTTTGGTTCCCGTTGAACAAGTTGCGTAATTCCCTGAAAGCATCATGATTGCGAACGCCAGGTATTTAGATTGTGGGGAGTCTTAGCATAGGCATGATACAAAACAGTTAATTCTCTCTACAGTCTCTACTGTAAATCCGTTATATCGATGGTATATTGGCTGCTTTTTTATGGTATGGTCAAAGCTTACGTGGGCTCAAGATGTCAACTGACCCACTCACTTGCCCCTGATGAAAACAAAGAATACACACGGAATAAGGAGCTTGACGGCCACGATAATTCGTGCCCGGGTCCAACCTCCAAACTGTGCACAGGAACTAACTACAATATTAATGCCATTCTCTTCAGCCTTGCCTCCACTTCCTTACTACCATGATTATTCATGGAAAGAGTCACGCTTCTGGGGCCTTGCAAATAAGGAAGGGCTGGGACGGACACTGTCATGACGACCTGTATTTAATCGCAGCGACGCTGGACCGTTTCCTAGGTAAAGGACCGACAACCGTAGTTTATGACTTGACTGCTGCGTGGTGGCGAGGCTGGTAATCGGTCAGTGGGAACTAAACCAAAATCTGAATAACGAATGCTTCCAAAATGAAAGACCTTCAGGCTAAGATGTCAATTCTGGTTACTGAGGTGGCGACATAACGGTTGAGGTAGACGGGTAAGTCAGGAATGTCTCGCATGCATTGCATCATCGAACGTCTTTGGCGCACGGATTCGCTGTCTCATCGTGTCTCTATGTTTGGCGTCCACAGCCTCGTGATGCACCGGCATCTCCTGCTTCAGGGTTATCGTCGGTAGATGCACGCAAAGCGTCTGACAGATAGTAGGTAGCTAGCAAACAGACCCCAGAACAAGTGTGTGATGGATCGCGTAATGGTCCGAGATACTATGAGATCATTATCCATCCCAAGGCGGCTCGGCGTGGTTAGCCAATGAGCCAGTCCAAGCGCAGTCCGAGAATCTTACATGGTACCGGATTTTATGTCTGTAAATGTAAACTATCGCGTCAACTTTACATCTGTGCGTTCCGAGAAGGAGGGTCGGAGGAGCCCGAACGTGGCGCCGGCCGGAGGAGGATCTAGTTGCCTGCCGAGCTTTCATGGACGATACAATATGTACATGTCTACAATTACGACTCGGATAACCTACGCTGATCTGTAGTTCCTGGATTGGTTCGCGCCGTTCTCAAATTCTTTGCTAGCAGACGTCTGACACAAAGTTTTGTAACTCTGATATCTTACACCATCGGTCTCTCCATTCGTAAGTAAGTCCGCGGAAGTAAGGGCTCAGTAATTATAAACCTCCCAGGAGGCGAGTCTCTAGGCTAGACGCACCAGAAGAGGAAAGCACCACGGTTTACCAGACTTATTATTAATGGAGAGGGAAAAAAAATAAGAAGCAGTCAAGCCGAAGCACATTGCGTAGATGTGGGTGTTATTTGCAATTTTCCAAGTCAGGTCTCCTCTTATCCCACCGCCGACCTGCCTGTCCCTTTTGGATCCTTGCGTTGCTGTGTGTCGGGCGTCAAAAGATGCCCGCTCTTTCTAGTAATTCGGGCGGCTTTCCTATAACTTGTCCCGTTGCCGGTTCGGCTCTGCTCTCCAGAGGTGGCTCTTCCACATATTTTGGTGGATTTCTTTTAACTATGTACCATGTAAGGAGCCTCTTATCTCCTTTATCTACTTGTAGCTGTACTGGCTGGGTTATCTGGTCTCTTTAGCAGTGTGAATTTGGTGAATCGACTCGAAACCTGTTCGATTCGAATGGGAGCCTGTTTCTAGGTTGTGTTAGCATTCATTGTCTTTGACGTGCTACGGCTTGAATGCTTGACCACGGAGGATCTTTTCTTAGTTGTTGGTAGCCTGGTCTGCGGAACTCGACAATATGGCACTGAGCGGCCAAGTTGGAGCCGTATAGAGCTGAGTGTTTACGTTGATGACCTTTCTAGCTTTGCAAAAAGGGCAAACCCGGTTGTCGGTGTCTGCTGCGACTCGTGAAGCGTCGCTCTGATGGGAGCTATGATGTAAAGTTGTGGGCTAGGGTGATTGGTTTGGGTTTGCTGAATCATTCCAATTATTACCCCTTTCGGGTTTCCGAGGTACATGTGTAAGGTGAGCGCCGAAGTATGAATAATCATGATTCATAGGGTCATCGTGTCTTCTTGCCTTGGACTTAATTGCAAACATGGTCAGCCACAAAACCTGCTTGCTTACGTTTGCCAGTTTTGGATTGCCGCCGCGTGACAGGTGTTGTTAGTCTCTAATTGTCGGATTCGCTTAAAGGTTGAGTTCTCTTGGCTGTTCACAAATGAGAAATTTATAGGTAAGTAAGCGTGATATCCGGGGAACAGATACCGAAGGAGGCTCGGCTGCATGTTGACAAGAAATGCCCAAACATAGACTCAATTTGGACATATCGGGACGTTGTGGGCAAAGATATTTGTAATTCCAGCGTTCATGCATAAAGGCTTCGGTGTGACTGACTCCCACACCACACCACACCTCTTTTTGACATGTATTGTGATTGCAACATTGACACAGCACCTGCAGGCAGGGCGTTGTTGTGCTGCCCAGTGCCACCAACCAAACCAAACCGTCGGGTCCTCAAATGTTGCTATTTGTATCAGTTTATTTGCTTGCCAACCAACGGCAGAGAACTTAATTTCGTCGTGCATACAACAATTATCCCCGCACGATACGGAGAGACGAATTACATCTGACTGTCCGACCGTAGTTACGTTATCAACATCTAGTTCTCCGCTGCGCATTCTCAGAGAAACTTCAAGTTGCTTCACCTCCTACCCGAGGCACATAACTGATCGCATGCGGCGTATTATCAAGCGCGCGCAAGTCTAAACCAAATCAAATAATTCCCCGATGAATCTGCCACTAATCCCAAAACAGCAACCACCCTTTTAGTCAGTTTGTTCGCAGTTCCGACGTCAGATGGAGTTAATAAACATTCTTTATGTACACGGATGATGCTTCCGAAGAGGGTGAGTGGGTGGGTGATCTAACGTATCAATCTCGGGGACCCGATCGATCCGTTAGTCGCCGCTTACTGATCCTTCAGTCAGTTCTCACTCGCCTTGCTGCTGTCTAACCACGACAGGCAGTATACGAGACAGAATACGACAGATTATTAAATATTGGAAAGGGCTAATTAGGTAGGCTCCTATGTAGTTCAAAATAAAAAATCAAGAGGAGTGGTGCGTACGGGGAAGACAAGGGTGCCTGCACGTATGTCAGCGTTACCTTATCCAATCTCAAAAATCTGCCAACGGACCGCCGCCCACCGAAACCCCTTGCTAACCATGCCCTGCTCTGATTACTTGGTGTGGAGGTACATAAGTTACTCCGTATTTCCATGCTTGGCTAGCAAAGTCATTCATTACCTGTATGCTTATTTCATCATTACGGCCGTAGCGTAGCGCCCCTTACTAACCAGTCTTGAGCCGCCTTGTAAGGGCGGACGGGTGAGTGAGCAGGCAGGCAGGCAACTTGAAGCGAATGTGACTGTGGGCATGATTACATGCCGCACCTGAAGTCGATGGATCCCAGAGTGTTTACATATGTACATACATTTGTACTACAAAACACCCAGCAGCGTCATCGTCAGCAGCCACTGGTTTGGGTGAGTTACTTTATTGCATGAGTGTATGTGCCTGTGTGTGTCTACCTAATTACGCCGACCCCGGGAGTCAGATGCGTACCTACGCAAGGACCTCACCCTCCCCGGATTTCACCATCAAGGGGGGGTGTTAAACTACCCACCCCTACACGTAACAGGGGGCGACGGGACCGAGGGATGGAAAGGGAAATTGTACAAAAACGAGTCGACGTGGAAAGTTCCGTAGGGCTGGCTGACCGACTGACTGACTGACACGACACGCTCGGGGTGGGTGTGCCACATGGCCGAGTTTCGGACCGAGAGGGCCGGGCAGCAGCAGCAGCGTGAGTAAGGTGAGAAATCAAGCCTCCAAGTACCATGCGTATCTGCAAGGGGCGGATATTTTTCCAGACTAGGTAATTGGTAGCGATCTATCCGTTGTCAGAGTGAACGTATATGTGTGTAGAAAGACAAGACGTGATCAAAATCGCGCGTTTCATAACGCGAGCGTCACGCTCTGGTAGGTAAGCAGGTAACTTTCAAAGTCGATAGATAAAAAGTTCGCCAGAGGCAGAGATGAGAAATTTCTGCAACGGCAGTCTTCTCATTCTGTCTGGAAGTGCGGGTCACGGACTAACTGGATGACGTGAGATGTTGTGTGTTAATGTAGCTGTTGACCTTCCATGTCGTAAACTGACATATCAAAGAAAGGCTGCTCGCACGCACCACCCGCCAGAAAGCTACAGTACCGGTAAGTGTATCAGTCTGACATCCGCGCTGCAGTGGGATCCGTTGTGGGGGAGGAGTGGTTTGGAATGACGACTTCTGACTCTCAGGCTCAGCCTTATCGACTTTGAACCGGGCGGGGATAACCATTTCAAACCCGCACAAAACGGTTATGGCAACGGGGATTTACTGCCTCTGGTGATATTTTAGTTGCAGGCAGGTGATCATCCGGGGGGATTCTATACCCTGTCTTTGTTTCGATCCGGGCTTGAAGTGTCAGATGGTTGCGGGATGAGAAACTCTGGTCTGCAGATCTGCTTGATATCTCCCAAGGCAACGTGATATTTCGCTTTGATATCAGGGCTATAGAACACTTCTCGCCAAAGGGATCGATAAAAACCAGCCACTTAGCATCCCGTATGTTGAACAAGGCCTTGACCAATCCAATCCCG